GAGAGAGAGAGAGAGAGAGAGAGAGAGAGAGAGAGAGAGAGAGAGAGAGAGAGAGAGAGAGAGAACCTAAATGGCTAGCGACACACTGACGCCAGTCTATATATTTTGATCAATGGCCTTTTCAGCCACAAGCAGACAAGTATGCAAGCTGTACCCATTTTTGATCTAATAAATTCTCAATAATCTTTACAGCTTTTATTTAAAAAAAATGTTTTGGCAAGGAACACTATAGCCTCAAGGGCCAAGATGTATCTTTTTAAAAAATATATATTTTATTATACATTTTTAATATACATAACTATTCATAATTATACAACGTCATTGTGTATTGGATACATCAAGTCCTTTTTTCCCCCCTTCCCATGGTGTTATACATCCTAGCTAAAACTATCATATCGTATAATCTCTCCATCCTATTATATTATACATCCAAATTATATCCGAGATGTATCTTAACATCCTTCAGCAACGTGCCTTGAACGTTCAAAGTCCGAAAGGTGCTTTCTCAGGAGGCATAAGAAACCAATGTACGTTTGCATATATGTACAATGTACATACATGCAAAATATACAGATAAGTGTGCAGATAAATCATTCCATTCCCCACCATCTAGTCAGAGCTGAAGAAGCTTCTTGGGTGAGAAGCAAAACGTCTTCAAAAGGAAAAACCAGAAAGTTGTCTCCTGAAAAACAGCACCTTTGAGACAACTGTGACCTGGAGGACTGAGAATCTCTGCCGACTTTTTAGATTTAGAATTAGAATTCTTTATTGGCCAAGTGTGATTGGACACACAAGGAATTTGTCTTTGTGCAAATGTTCTCAGGGTACCTAAAAGAAAAGCGTTCGAAGTGTTTTGCATGCATTAGAAAACATCCGCTGCTAATACAAGAAGAGGCCTCGTATACAGGAAATATACTTTATGTCCTACTACCTAGATCAATAAACACAGCTATGAAGGGAGGACATCAAAGGGCTTGTCATATTGTCCCTATATCACTAGATGGCACTCACTGTGTGTGGCAATGACCGCCTCTCGTTTAAAAGGCATGGAGTCCTTTTGAATAAAAGCAACAGAAAAGCTGTGGCTCTTTTAATTAATTAATTAAGTACAGGTGCCAAGGAAGCAGCACATCATCTGAGGAAGTCTTATGCAACTTTGTCAAGAATTCTGGGTCACACCTGTTGGGTTTTGCAGCGACTTTTTAAAACGGTATTTTGGTGCGAGGGATATTTTAGAAGGAAACGAAAGGATTAAACCGGAGATTGGAACTCTGTGGAGAGATTTTTTTTCACCACCAAATAACATTTTGCAAGCTTCTTTCTTCTCCTGCTCTTTAAATAAAATTGCAGCACATTAGAGGAAAGGAGGAAAGGATCAAGCTACCTGTCTTCCCTTCCTGTTCTCCCACTTTTAACTGTTAAAATTTTAACAGAAATGCTGTAAGGTGTGGGCAGGAATCTTTATGTTCAATTTTTTTTTAAATGGGAATATACTGTATACTTTCTCATGTAACAGGGAATATATAATGCATACAAGCACTGTCAGTGTATGAACTGACTTTTATTCTAACAACAAAACCTAAAATCTAATCTAAACCTAAAATCTATATCTAAACTCTAATAACGAAACCCACAACAAATATAGGGGAAAGATAGTCAAATTCAAACTTTTCATAAAAACACATCCAGACTGACAAAATGTCCAAAGGAATGAATCCTTTAATTCAATTAAGTTAACCCCGTGGAGAGTTCCTGCAAAATAGTACAATCCGTCTCCAATAACCACTGAAAAAGGTTCCGTGCAAATAAAAATAAACAGCCCACTGGACCACTCAATCCATTACAAACAGCCTACCTCCCCCTCAGATCTTCAAATAATGCAGTTGTAACCCATTCAAACAATGGTTTGATGAACAGGCCACAGCTAAAAACGGCAAAACGCTCAAAATGATCAGTGGAAAAGCACAGGCAACTAAGTCACGCTTCAAAGTTTAGAGTTACGGAGTTCATCTCAATTTCATATTCTCGCCAAATGCAAAGAGGAGACAGAATCACGCTGCAAATACTGTATATATCGGACTCCTCAATGTCTCTGAATGGTTTCCAAACAGTTGCAAACTTCATGAATTACGGCGATGCAATTAACACACTGCATATCTATTAATCTCCCCTTTTGGTCTGGCCGAAAACAAATTTGTGGGGACACAAAGCTCAGAGGGCACCAAAGACCTCACAGTTCAACCCTGAGGTATGAATATTCCCTTCTAGTACAAGATGGAAGCACTACAAGATCTAACAAAACAGCAGCCACATCACACACACACACACACACACACAATTAATCTGGAGCATTTTAAAGAAGACCTTCTCTAGAATTTTTACTGAGGATATTAGTTTATCCAAAATGGCTCTATCTTTGCAATCCTTGGTGGCTCCAATTCGAACAAATACCCATTTTCTTCTAGAAAAGTTGGGTTGCCACTGTTCCTAAACCCATTTACAAATACAACTGTAAATACATACATACAAGATGACATTTGCCATCTCTCCCCGTTCTTTCCGACCACCTCCTACCACTTGCCAGAAAAAAAAGCATCATCTAACCGCGCGTTGTTGCTTAGTAGACCACCTCCGTCACCACTTCTCTTCCCGTTCAAAGTGTCTCCTTGTTCTGCTGAAATCAATGGAGGCTTTGAGCAAACTCTGGGAGAGAAGCCATGATGCTTCTCCCATCGGGGGAAGCCAGCCCCGGGGGGCAGAAAGAAGGACTTGTGTCTTTGAACTGACAAACACGTGGAGGGGGAAAAAAGGCTTCTAGGAATATATTGGCCACCAATCCACGATTAAAAGAATTCCGGCATGGCGCTTATTCACCGTCATCAAGCAAGCTTTAGAAAGCCAGAAGGCCACTTCTGCCTTTCCCAGGAAAAGCCTCTTGAAAGAAAGCACCAGCAGGAGGATATTAAAATCCCTTCACGGGGGACGTTCGGCCTCATCGGATCAATAAAGGTCCAGAGACAAAACCTGAGATTTCTCGGGCCTTCCTGAAAGTCTTTTAAGATTTGATTCTCCAGCAAGGAATGCTGCAAGGTTTGGGAGGTTGTGGAGATGAGAACACTCAACTGGACTCCACATCCATAATCTACTTCATATGAAAACCTCATGCAGAATCGAAGGCCAAACTAGGCTGGGAGCAAATGATTTGGACGCTGAGGAGAGCAGTTCATTTAATATTGAGGGAAGCTGCAGGAGGACTTCGGATCAAGGCGCAGCCTAGAAAACCACCACACAGAGAGTCCGTTTGGGCAAAGCAGACTCTGCCAATCCTTCTCCAGTTTTTTTTTAAATGTTGTTCCCTTCATAATATTCTTTGTTTACCACATTTCCTATCGGAGAAATGGAGGGGGAGAGACGTTTCCTTGGATCTTACTGTTATTATTTTTGTTTTTATGCCTTTCTTTGATTTTTAAGGGTGACCGTTGACTTATCATTGTCTTTTCCTTATCAAATTCACGCTTGAGGGGTGAAGAAGAAGAGGGGAAGGTTGAGGAACGTGTGTGGAAAGGATGTCTCCATTTGAAGCTTCTCCCCACATCATCTTCCGAAAGCCATAAAAAAAATATTTCCTGTTTCTAAGAGCAGATGAAGCTCTGCTACCTTACCAGTTTATATCTGGGTTTTTAGTCAATGTACCACATTTTAATTCAAAAGGCTTTATTTTTCCCCCAGCAAAAAAAAGGATTCTCTTGTTTTTCTCAACTGTCTATTCAAGTAATAGACGGCTCCCTTGTCTCATAACTAGTCCTTTCCTTGCTTCTGTACACAGGTATCATCTTAGTGACACCATAGTAACCTGCAGAATTTTATTTGCTCCTGAGCTTGTTAGGTTTTACTCTTGTTTTTCAACTCTCTCTTGGAGAATATTCAAGAGAATTCATGACAAGTATAGACACACCAGAGACATTTTTTACTGTTGATAAAAGGCAAAATGCCCAGAGGAGCCATAGAAAAAAGTAAGGGGAAGGATTGCTTCCATTTTAGCGATCAGATACTTTAGAATTGACCTGGAATGGTGAGCTCTATATTATGCTGCAAATCCATCAGCCCAACGCAGGAGGATCTGGGCACACGCAGCTTTTAGAGTTTCCTATCAAACCACCTTCCAATACGACATGTGGCCGGTTCATTCTTGGCTAAATCTCAGTCCTGGTCAGTTCTGGGCTCAAGGGTGGTTGTGTGGTCCCTTCTTTGTGACAAGTCGGTTTGATTTCAAGCCGGACCTACCTTGCTCCTTCTGTTGATCTTTCTGTTCCATTGATACGAGGGCCGAGAAATGGGCTTGGTCATAAGCGAGGACCAGGGGAGAGCAATGGCATCGGTTGGACATGACTTCCAAGGGCAAGTAAACTCCACCGAAGGGGATGGGTGCAAATGCTGGGAAAAACACACAAAAAGTTGCTGCGCTACAAAATAAGCAATAAGTACAGACCCCAGGATCTTCTTTTTTTTAAAAAAAAAAATGTGTTTATTCAAAATTTCAAGTTTTAAAAAAGAGAAACAAGTTCTCACATTTTACAGCGTTGTCGTAACAGTGTACATATCCATTAGTGTCAATTAAATTCATTTACTACAAATATATCTATAGCTTATTTACTAAATCCTTACTTATTTCTATTATTATTATTATAGTACAATATTTATTTAGTTACATTACTTTACATATATACATATCTATATACACATTTGTCCTTTTTCCTATTTCCAATTTTTCTTTAGAATTTCTTTAATCATTTTCACTAAACCTCTTTAGAGATGTTTAGGAGATTTCTTTATAACATGGAATATATGGTACAAATTGTTGAGTAAAAAGGAAGTAAGGATCTTCTTTTTTTAAGGCAGTCATGGTATATCAAAATTATAGACTTCAAAATGCGTCGTAAGGACTCCAGAAACAAAAGAAGGAAGGATGGATGGATGGATGGATGGATGGATGGATGGAAGGAAGGAAAGAAGGAAGGAAGGAAGGAAGGAAAGAAGGAAGGAAGGAAGGAAGGAAGGAAAGAAGGAAGGAAGGAAGGAAGGAAGGAAGGAAGGAAGGAAGGAAGGAAGGAAGGAAGGAAGGAAGGAAGGAAGGAACTCTGGGAGATGAAGTCCACAAATGTAATATGGCCAAGGTTGAGAAAAACACTGGGCTTGCCATCCAAGGTCCAAAGAGCCATGAAAATTTACCTTCTCCTCCTGAATCCCGTAGCATTGTATCTGCCACAACGACAATCGGTCGCCTTAAAACATGGGCCAACACAAAAACGTGGAACTCCTCTAGGCTCTCGTAGACGGGGTCTTCAGAATTCTCCACTCTAAGAAACAAACACAGCCGCTATCGTACCAGAGCGGAAGATACTTGCTAGAAATACACTCCTGAGAGAAGCAGAGCTTTGCAAAAGGACCTTTGGGTTGGATTCAAAAACTAGCTAGTTCTCCCAGCATGAAATGTAAATGGGATCAAAGTTAGAGTTGCAAACTTAAATGAAGTACAGGGGATGAAATTTAATGCACTGCATTTATTAATTTCCCCTTTTGTCTGTCTAAAAAAAAAAAACTAATACAATTCCATAGTAATACCTAAAAGGGCTGTGGAGGCCACATCTAAGACTTTATGGGGCCAGGTGCAACCCTAGTTTACAGTTACTTACCATGAAATATATGCATGTACTTTGTTGCGTGCATGAGAGAAACTTAATACAGTAAGCCTTGCAAATTAACAAAACAACGAAGCCCCAAATTGTAGGTACCTATTAAATAACATCGTACACCATTTTTAGTACATCAATTCCGTGCAGGTAAATTTTTCCCTATAAAGTTGACAGGTATGAATATCAAAGGGGTCTTCAAGACCCCTTGAGATATATTTCTGTCTGGAATCTAAGAACTGTCATGTGTAGCCACTTTACGTGAACCACTAATCGTCATTTCCATGGTACCAGAACTGGCAGGTAGATAGTGAAACTTCTACAAAACTCTGGAAGTTGGCAATGTTTATATCTCTTTTAAGGCGCCTGTTTGCTCATTAAAACCGAAACAAAACAAAAGATCTAAGAGGCAGCTAGCAAGCTAGGAGAACCCTTCAAAATCTGTCCTTTTGTTTTCTTCTTTTTAAAAACAGAGGCTGCTTTGAAGCAACCATATCGTGGGTTGAAAGCTTGTTTTGGCACCAAAGGAAATTAGCCCATCTATAATTTAAAAGCCATGATGGTAATTCTCCTCCACAACGTTATTATGAAAGAACTGGGTTGGCTTTGAAGACTTCCCTGCTTTCTTTCTGCACTTCGACTTACAACCGTTAGTAAACCGACGGGAAGAATGGATGGTTGCCCAACCTCTGCTAGTAATGGACAACACCGACCCTTTCTAGATGTTATTGCCTCGAAGAGGGATCTACAGGAAGGTCAGAAAAGACACAGTTGTGGCCAGAACCAGGTTTCTGAAGCTCCACCCCCTTTTAATATACATCTATCTATACCGGGGGCCTCCAACCTTGGCAACTTTAAGACTTGTGGACTTCAACTCCC